CGAATAGTTTACTAGTGGGCGTAGTAGCAGCAGTATTGCTGGTGCCTTACTATTTGTGTATACTATATATATATATACATAATAAATAATAATAATAATATATTACCTTCTTTAATTTCGTGCGATTTGACTCCTTCTCGCTTTCCCGATATAATCATACTTTGTATACATTACGACATAAACCGATTTTTACTCTACACGAAATATACCGCTTTTATTAATTTCTTGATATAGACCTTTTTTCATGTTTTTCTCGATTTAGCACCTTCTACGGCTAAAACAACGACTTACTGTTAACAATGTCTAAAACAACGACGATGTGTAACATGAATTAGATATAGACATAGGGTGCTTTCCATTTGATGACACAAGTCGACACAAGTGTCGTTCTATCTTTGCCACTCTCTGAATGTCAACAAGGATAGAACGACGCTTGTGTCATCAAATGGAAAGCACCCATAAGTTAGATATAGACCCGTACAGCACAAAAACTTATAGCAACATTTCAATGTTGGATATTGCAATACAATGTTGCAGAGATATTGCGAAGACTTTTTTTTGCAATATTACTTCAGTAATGTTGCAGTAATATTTTAAAAATATTTCCAGCAAGAGGCACAAATTAACACAAGAGTTATCCTGTCCTTTTTCAATAATCAGTAAAAAACAAAGACAGAGTATTCTGATAGCACAGAAAGTTTCAGTTGTGTTGCAGGGACCTTTTAATGTCTCAATTGTGTATCATCACATTTATAATATTATATTTCTGAGACCATCTTCTTTGAAATATTACAATTGCAATGTTTCTGCAATCACTTTAATCGAAACCTTACGTGAAATGTTCCTGTAATATATAGTTCTTTTAACGTTGCAAGTGCAAAGTTTCTGAGAGATTTCTGCGTGCTGTGCGCGAAAATGGCTATCCGGATGATGTGCCGCGCCATCTCGTGATCACATGTACGTACATGATGTAGACCATCTTTGAAGTACTTTGATCGATGAACGTACGAAACTTCGTCGTCGTACATGTGTGCCCATAGGTCTGTTTTCTGTGGCTGAATCAGTGTACACTTTTGGAATTTAAAGTGAAATAAGTATATGTTTGATATTTGTCGAAAGCAAGAGAGTTCTAGTACAGTCTAGTGCAGGAACAGAAAACAGACCACATGTATGCCGATCAGTGCCGAAAAATTTATATTTTTGAAAAGTGTGGCCGACTTTGTGTGTGGCTGTGCATTCGTATTGTAAATTTTTTAAACTGTGTATACACCTAGCGAACGAACACCGAACGAACAGCAAACGTAAAAATTTGTATTGTTGTTTGTTACATAAAAGTCGCACAAGTTTAATTGCTACATGGAACGAACATCGAATCTGGTTGAATACCAATATTCCGTACAATCGAGAAAAAGAATAAACTGCTCACAAATATAAATACTATTTTTTTTACATTTATGCAAGGTTACAGATGGAACTAAAGAGCACATTACATCAATATCACTGAAAGATTGTATAAACATTTCCGTAAGATTTCAGAAACGTTTTTTGCGAACCGAAGCGGACATTTTGACATTGCCGCAATTTTGCAGAGACTTCTCAGAAACATTACGCAATGTTACTGCGATGGTTTCAATATTTCAATGTTATGTTCGTGCAATGTTACAGAAATCCTTCTGTGCAGGGGTAACTCTTGTGTCGATTTGTGCCTCTGCTAGAAAACTCGCTTTGAGTATTAAGACTAATGCATATATTGATTTGTGTATAATGCAATAAAGTAAGGAACTGGACATAATGCAAGAATAGGAATTAATGATCATGTTTACACGGCACACTTAATCGGGTTTAATAATATCTGTATAGGACTGTTTTTTTTTGGCTGAACTTTTGCACCGGTTTATCTTTCAAGGAAGAAAGAGGAACTGGTGCAAAAGTTCAACCAAAAAGAACAGGCCTTATTTCTCTTTATTTCGCCATCTTGTTGTTCGATACATAAGGCTTGTTCTTTTTGGTTGAACTTTTACACCCGTTCATCTTTCTTTTTTTTCTCTCCAGGAGCAAAGAAGAGAAAGGTACAAAAGTTCAGTCAAAAAGAACAGGCCTCTAGTTCCCTATTTTCAGAGCGCACCGCGGTGGCATCGGGATCGCGCTAATCGATAACACAGGCCTGCAAAATTGGAGGTGTTGAAAGTTGATTGGGATTTAACTATGTTTTCTTACGTAATTTTTCGCGCTGAATCCGAATCCGGAGGCAGAATTGCTCTATCGCGTCAGGTTTTTGAGAAAAGTGAGGTTAAAGGTGTCAAAATTGACGTTTTTTGACATATTTGTGATTTTTTTGCTAGC